GCGAACTTGATTCTATCCGAAGACAAATCAGGGTGGCCCCTTTGAGCAAGTGTGTTCGGTTAAAGCCGATTACACTTCTCATCTTGTCGTCCGCTTTTCTCAAGCCTGCTTATCGTGATTTGAGTCGAAAGACTCTGGATCCTCTCTCTACATACCCAATCATTAACATTAAACAATATTGGCCAATTTGGCGTACGGGGAAAGGGAAGCGCCAGGTGCTCTCCCAGTTATACATGGAGTCGGAATCGTATCCACCAGAAGACTGAAGGTTTCATACGATAACAGTCAGTCAGATGCAGGTACCAATTATTATCGCCTAACACCGAGCCAACGATTGCCGAACCCATTGTCTACAAAAATTCATATGAATCTCTTAACCTACCACACCAGATGCAAGCTGTCGTAAGCTCGAGAGTTGCATGCGGATGTATTCTAGGGATTATCATTCGATAATTTTCTGTTGCAAAGTGCTTGTGGGGATCAATTATTTGTGAGGAAAGCATTTAGCCGTGTTTCGAAGACCGGAACGATTTGAGCATCCGGAGAACGATTCCTTTGTAGGGCAGCTAGATTTTGATACCCCTGGGGCCTGTATGTCAGATTGTGATGTGGGTCAAGATTACAACTCGGTTGAGAGGCTTGTTCGCACGGTTTCCTTTCCACATGTGGATTTATCCACCTGCACGCACGGTACTTTTCCTTGAGACGAAATTTCATGTCCCTTGTTTTAATATGGATCGATATAAACCGAAATACGAACCTACGCGGTTACTCTTTCTGTTTTTGGTGGTTAAGCTTAATCACTTGAGGCTTCGTATCTCCCTGCAGTCCTTGTTTGAGCCTGTTTTCACGAATGACAATGGCTTGTTCAAACCGCGATCACATTGCGTCGCTACCCAAGCAGAAACTGCAAGGCACGAACGGATAGGGAAGAAACGGTTCATCCGGTCTTTCTTGGTGGCTTCTATGATTGATGGATCTTTATGAGCCCCGGCAAATAAGCCGTGGCGATATGGCTTCCCAATGTTTACTTTTACCTGCTTAGACCCCGCTCTTTCGGTTGTCGATCGAGATATACTTTGAGTAAGTAAAAATCGACGTTCCAACATGGCGACTGTGGGGCCTGATATTAATATCGGTGAGCTACTTCAAATCTTCAATGGCTCGCTGTCGCTAACTCAGTCTACAGGCGGAAAAGGTCTGGCTGTGATCTGGGCTCTCAATGCTGTCTCAATCACTGTCGTTATCGCAAGATGCATGACGCAAAGATTCATCATCCGTCAACTGGGACTTAGTGATGCTTTGGTCGTTGTATCGATGGTATGTTCTTTACCTCGTGAGCCACGGGTCTTGACTAATGATGAAGGGTACTATTTCTTCCATGGCAGCTTTGATCACAGTGCAATATCACTATGGATGGGGACGACATTACGCATATCTCGATCCATTTGATAGGATTGAGGCAATGAAATATAACGCAATTGGGCAATCTTTTGGTAATTTTACTTCAGTACGAGTCTCTAATACAAGATCACTCTCTAACTTTGTGTGCGCCAGGTGTCATGGGCTCGACTTTTGGTCGGATGTCCTTCATTATCCTCATGCTACAGCTATTTGGAACTTCTAAATTAAAGCACGCAGCTCTATGGACCTTATTTTGGGTACAATTTATTCCAAATTGTGTTGTTGTCGTCACATTGTACGTTCAATGTAATGATATTCGAGCTTTGTGGGATACATCGATTGTGTCTTCATGCTGGCCCGAGTCTTACCAAACCGTGAGTATAGACATCATTACCGCTGGAATCATTTCTAATGACAAATTAGTATATTGGCTACGCACATACGAGTTGGAATGGTCTCACAGATCTTTTTTTGACTTGTCTACCAGCAACAATGTTGTGGAGTTTACAAATGAATCGTCGTACGAAATTTGGCTTGGTATTCTTGTTAAGTCTTAGTTTGCTGTAAGTTCTACTTGTGCCTTGTCTACCACATCTTCTAATTCAAGCTTCTCGCAGCGCCTTTGTGGGAGTCATCATGAAAATTGTGTATATTCGTGTACTTGCCAACCGAGGAGATTATACCTGTAAGTATCACAATATTCATCGACTAGCAACCCGCTAACAATACCAGACAACACAGTCCCATTCTTCGTCTGGGTACAGTAAGTTTTTCCCTGCACTTTCCCAGATAACTCTTTCCTGACCCTCCAAAAACAGAGTCGAATCCAATCTCGTCGTAATCGCCTCTTCAGTCCCACTCCTCCGTCCCCTCTTCGTGCGTCTTAGAGCCGGCAATTTCAGCACCCAAAATGGCTCCACGGCTCCTACCTTCGAGATGTCAGGCTATAGTAATAAGCGGAAATCGATACAGAATAATCATATGTTTAGTGAGATAAGCGATGATGATTTGGGGCTGAAGGATTCGCGTGATGGGATGCCGATCGATGATAAGGGGAGTGAAGATCATATCTTACCGATACAGGGGGAGAAGGAAAGGGTTTTGGAACCGTGGGTGGTGAAGAAGGAAGTTAGTTATAGTGTGAGGGTTGAGAAGACGGTAGACGAGGATATCGAAAAGGGAGAGCCGGAGAGGGACAGAGGGAGAAACAATACATTCATGGTGCCGAAAAGAGCGAGTAAAGGGAGTATGAGTATTCTGAGTCATGTTTCTATGGCTTGAAAATCACTCATTGTGAGTTTTGGGCTACGTTTTATTGAGGGATAATTAGGTATTGGATTAGGAATGGAATTTTGAATGGTCATGGATGGATAGCAATGGATTAGGAATGGAATTTTGAATGATCATGGATGGATAGCAATGGATGGATGGATATACTCGGGCAAATTATCTCTTTTGTAAATACCCTCAAAGTCAGCTTTTGTAATCTCACATTAATCTTCCTGTCATATCTCGAGTTTTAATACGCACCAGTGAGGAACGCGTTGATTTGAATCTATATACCACACTTACCATCAATCATAAACTTCCACCTTCCTCCCGCTCGCGCAAAACATCATCATCATCATCATCATCATCATTTGAGCATTATCCTTCCGCACATCTCATTACTCGGATCCGTACTGGAAAAAGTACAGCACCCTCACTATACACCTCTCCACCTCTCCACCTCTCTTCAGTAATTAACCATACCAAAATCAAATCAAATAAAAATACAACTCCAACAAATATCAATATCCATCCATCCCCACAAGTAACCAAGTCACGTTCAAGAGAGAAAAAATAAAAATTCTCTCTCGAAACAAAAATGGATATTCTCAAAGCGGAAGGGAAAAGAAGGGAAGGGAAGATGTGTACGTACCCCATGTCTTATTTCTCATGCAATCAGTGTTGTATTTTACAGAGTATATTACACAGTAGTTTACATAGTATTGGCTTCGACCATGTTGTCGGGACTCGGTAGCCAATGGGAAATGAGTAGGCTGGGCTGGCTGGGCTGAGCTTTAGATGAGGATGAGGATGAGAGGGGAGATTGTGAGACTGTTTTTGAGGCATGATTTTTGTAACGAAGGAGAGGGAAGTCTTTGGTAGGATGGAAGAATTGAGATCTTGGGATATCGAGAGATTTGGATGTATGGTGTTCTTGATATGTAGTATTGAAATAGAAATTGATCATCGGGATTTTGGGCTTGGGATTGAGGATTTGGGATTAGGTGGTTATGTTGATTGTTAATGGGGTTTATGTGTATTTTGTAGAGGTAATTATGGTATACTTTCTATATTTGAATGGATTTGAATGGAAAAAGTATATCGTTATGAAGAATGAAATACATTCAACATCTGGTATGATTTTACTCAAATCATTTGGTGTCCTAGATTTTTCCGTTCCAGGGAGGTATTGTATGTACTCCATAATCTGTGGATAGTTAGCGGGCTGGATTCAGCACTATCCACATGATATGGAATAGCGGGTAAACCATAATTTATAATGAAGGATGGCTGAGCATTGAGAATGAATAAGCTTTTCTATACCATATCGTACAAAAGCGTTGAAGCTTAATTTCTCTCGCACAAGCATTTGGGGTGCCAGACTGGGGTGCGTTCCGCAGAGTAGGGCCCGTTATATGAACTTATGATTTGTGGATTTGGAGGTGCGTGTGCAATGTGCAATGTGGGATCGGGATGGGCTCGGAATTTGGGGGCCGGAATGGGGGATGCGGATCTGTGATTGTTTTGTGTACTTACTTGTGCACACGGAAATGAAGCGATTTTTGTTTGTTGTTGAATTGGTGGCTGTACTGTGTTGTACTGACTGCACTGATAACAGATTGTTATTATCATTTTTCGGACTATATAAATTCTTTCTTTCAACCGATAGATCCTTGAATTCTAGAAGATACTCAAAAGATTGCCTCTGCGCGTGTATCTACTGTAAGTAATTCCTCCACTCTAGCGCAACAGTATTGATACCAGATAGGCGAAGCCCCCGAGAAACCCAGAGCACTCCACCCGAAACCCCTTGGTCCTTGCAGACGGAAACCAACCGACCTCCCCCATATACCCTAGTTTATCAGCAAGCTCCGGGTATCCCAGCCACAACACGGAGATTGAACCCAGACGTCGAAAAATACATGGAATTTTTGTATCCTTCCTTCATTCAATCGATGTACTTTGGCGTTGCTTTCTTGCGTTGCTCATATTCTTAAATCGCATGTAGAGTTGATCGGGACCGAAGCATCGATTCCATTCGATACCAATTCCCATTTGGATGGTCTGATGTGTACATTCAATAGTCCCGTTTTTGATTGGTATTCTAGATGTAGTAGTTTAATATCCGTGGTTCAAGCGTTGGAGAACTCAAAGGTTGAAATTTATTGAGCCTATATACTTCCGTCTACTTTCTTCCCGTGTTGATAGTGCTTCTTATCTCAGTATCTTCTTCATCTCGTTTTTCTACTTTGTTCTCTCATCTCATCTCTTTTTATCATCTCATTTGCCACTCTACCCGTTCGCCCTAGGTACCGTTTCTCGCCAGGATGAAGGCTTCAGTAATGAGCACGGCTCTCGCAGCCCTTACCTTCCTCCCCTCTCTGAGCACGTGCACTCCCATCGCAAGCCCCAGCTCAGTAGCCATCTCCAAGCTTACTCCATCCCTCCCCCTAACAGTCAGTGTTGTGAAGACCTTTGACTTCCCTTCATGGTGCGAAAACTTCGCCATCAGATCCAACGGCAACCTTCTCGTCTCCCGTCTTGATACTCCCGAGGTCCTCCTCGTCTCCCCCGCAAACGCATTTGAGCCCATCACCGTCACCACCTTCAACGCCACTACCTACAAAGGCGCCCTCGGTATCTCCGAAACCACAGAAGATGTCTTCTACGTTATCACCTCCGCTCAAGTCGACGACTCCTTTGTCAAAACCAGCGGCGTAAACTCCATCTGGAAAATCAACATGAACACCTTCGTCCAGTCCAACGGAATCATTATCTCTCCCGCCACCGTAACAAAGATCGTCGATATCCCCGGTGCCGATTTCCTCAACGGAATGACCACTTTGGACGACGAAAATGTGCTCGTAGGAGATATCTACAACGGCTGGGTCTACAAAGTCTGCGTCGCCACCGGCACCTACTCCATCATCGTCAACGATCCCAAGATGAAGTTTCCCGCGGGCGCCTCCACCAATCTCGGGGTCAACGGTATCAAAATCTCCAATTCCTATCTCTACTGGACCAACACGGCTGTTGGTACTCTCAACAAAATCAAGATTGCAAGCGATGGAACCCCAATCGGCTCCAGCTCCGTCGTCGTAAGCAATGTTCCCAAAGCAGATGATTTTATTTTCAAGAGTGACGGTACTATCTGGGTTGCGCAAAACCAAATGGATGAATTGAGTTATATTCCTGTCGGAGCTACTCAAGCTACTTTGGTCGCTGGAAGCAATACTTCGACTACCTTGGCTGGTGTTACTTCGGGTCATTTTGGAAGAACTGCCAATGATGCTAACATTTTGTATATGGCTACTAGTGGTGGTGAGTTTCCCCTTTCCCCCTGCGTTTTGTCATTTGGAAATTTGACGATACTAATTGTAAACAGGATTGGCATTACCCATCAACGGAACCGTGACCGTAGCAGGAAGTATCGTCAAAATCGACACCACTGGGTTTTAGCCATTAACGCCTGGGAGTGACGACGATGATGAGTGTGCTGGAGATATGGAATAGTATTTCCAGAGAATAGAATGGTATGAATGTATGGTTGATGCTGATGTGAAATTGATATATGTATATATGTGAAAATATAGAATAATAATATCTTTAATAGCTAATAATCCATGTGCCTATCCGTAACCAGTGCTCTGAACTGTCATTTCTAAATATTCTTAGCACCGCTAGCTTGTGAGCTCCTAAGGGGCGAGTTCTGTAAATGGCGGCAGCAGGTATAAACGGTGAGTATGGGGGTCCACGCGAATGAGCAAGATACCAATATCAATATATTCTAAAGCACCCCCACTTCGAATTATAGATCTGATACAATTAATTTCGAATAGACCAATATATTTTATACCGTAAGCCAAGGGCCATCATACATAACCATTCACATGTGAAAACTAGCCAAGTTTTCAAAGTTCTCCTTGGACCTCCAGCGCGATCCAAAACCCGCGTATTACGCATAAATAACAACATAATGAGCATAGTGTAATGTAACTAACAGTAGGGACTCACTGATCCTTGTCTTCTAATTACTCTGTTCCCCAGTGCCAGTCTGCAATATTGCACTAAACATCATGTGGATTGCATCTCCAACTCTCTCAGTCTTTGATCGTATGTCTGAGAAAGTTGTTGCGTCCCGCAATATATCAAGGATTTCCTTGAAAGCATCTGAACTTGCCGCGCGTCTATTCTTGAAGTTTCCATTGATTAAACAAATTCGCGTGAAATCTCCCAGTCAAAATCGGAAGATATGGGTTTGCAGCTGTCCAAGATCCTCATTTGTATTCTTGGAGCATCAGATGATAAGAATTTTTCACAGCAATGTACCTAGGTACCCACATATCTTTCGTCCCTGCTTCGATTATATAATATCCGAAGTTCTCATTCTTGTCTGGACGATTATTATCACTGTCTAAAATACGAGCAGATGAGTTGGAGAAAGTCGCCGAGAGAAGAGGACTTATTCTGAAGGGTTCTTGTGCACATCAGACCAGAAGGTGATGCTGAAGCGACATGTGTCAATACTGAAATAGCCGAGTATGAGATTCAAAGAAGTTTCGAGAGATCAGATGAATGGATAACGTGCAAATACTATGAATCTCAATGCCCTGGTATTGAGATATGATACATTGGATTAAACCGAGAAGGTGAGAGTAGCGGAGCTGGGAAAACACAAACTGGGCATTCAGGTGCTACATAAAGACGTACGATGTGAAATTCTACTACCTTGACTGAGCCCTTTAAACTGAGACATAGATTGATGGACATCGCGGCTTATTTTCTCATATAATCTGCCTCGCATTTTCTGTCGACCTTCGAACTAGCAAGAAAGAGCCTACGTGAAATGCGATATGTGATACGGGACTGCCGAGATCAAGCACCCCAGACGCTTCTGAACATCAACAACGTAGCGGCTAGCTGATTCTGATGAGGTAGGCAAATTTTAACGGAAAAATGGTACGGGATGAATCATACTACACGCAAACGATAGACGTCTTCTCGCATAACGTCAATGAAATTATACAAAATGCTTGTCTGTCGAAAAATTTATATTCAGGAGGTTTATTTAGGAAAGGCTTCGGAGGACAGATACTAGTTGGGTGAAAGGATCATAAAAAACCAGGGGAAATATCGATTTAACATGGAATGAAACCGTAATGTGAAAAGATAGTTTTTCCCCTTCAAATGCTGTGAGAAATTAGGTTTGTTCGAGAGATTGAAGCGGGTCGGAAGTCTCAAATAGGGTGAGATATTCAATCCTCATGCCAAAGTGGTGCAATGAAGGAGGGGAGATATGAGAATACATAGGTGAATGTGTTGAGCAACTTGAAAAGCTTGCAGACATAGGTATGTGTGTGGTATCTCATCAGGGAGTAAAGAGGCTATATTCGCAACATAGATTGTTAAAGCATTCAAGGTTGTACCATTTTGAAGAATAGCCAAAGAGCAAGCAAAGTCGTAGAGCAGTCACATCTACATCTTGTCACGCGTTTGGGAACGACGAGGACCGGCGCCGAAGTTCAAAATTCAAAAACGCGTACTTTCAATAGCCTTTACATCCAAAGGCTTCAGTCCTCATGGATGATAAGATCAAGAGATAAAGGACCGGATACCTTCATTAATGCATCTTATATTGGTATCAGGAAGTGTGGCTTCGAATAATACTATTTGTTGATGAAGCGTGGAAAGTCCAATGGGCCTTCACACTCTAATCCTACCTCGGCCTTCACGCTCCATTCTCGAAATAAATACAAACGGTTATTTCAATGAAAGAAAGAGAGCGGTTGCCCTAAATGTTTGAGGATTCAGGATAGCAAGACATAGCTTGGCCAGGTCCGAATTAGCTTTATCCGATTTGTCAACTGTACCACCTATCCAGACATGACCGAAAACACTATAGAAAGCGTTTTGAGCTTGATGTTGCAATTATAGAGGTTCGTATGCTCAACAGGATAGAAATGGTAATGTAACTTTACAAGTCAGGTAGTACAGATCTTCGCTTCCGGGGTAGTGTCATTTCGATGATATTTCATTGACTATGAATAGGACAACTTCCAACCGCGTGGTAATGCAGAGACTTCTGTAGATAGTAGAGATATTCATAGGACTTGCAAACTTCAATTATCAACGGAAATAGAAGAGTCCTTCACTTTGTCCTTCACAAATGGGAAGGTTCTGTATATAGATCAAAGGGGAGGATGTCAGCGAAGTAAGTGGTGATGGGTAAGAAACGAACAGTGAGTGAGAATTTAGCTGGAGAGTTGTAGATTTGTAATCTTTACGCCTGTTGTAAGCATGAATCAACCCCGTACACTTGTCAGATTTGACACCCGAATCCTGGTTGCGCCCAAACCTTGTCGACTTAGAACTCCCATAGAGTTCTGATATGCAGGTCTAATGCTGACTTGCTTGAAGAAGTCATACTTATTGATGACTGCAGTAATCCATACTATCCATGTTCCTGATCCACGCCCATATGCACGTATACATAACTGACGTAGACGAAGCTAGAATAGAAAGTCGTTTCGTTGATGCAGTCACCTTTGACATGATACGGTTCCAATAAAGCATATAGATTAACATTGGTAGATCAAAAATACGTGACGCTTAACACATCTATGTATTATTGATGCATAAAAAGATTCAACGTTAATTCAAAGATCTCTGAGATCGTTCTAACGAGAAGTGGAGATTAAGTTCGTCACGTGGAATGCAACATGTTCTTTTTAAAGCAAAGGGGGTCCTTCAGATCTATTCCCGGGCCGATCTGCCAAGAGAATTAAAAGTCCTGCAAGTCAATCCTACATTATACATACTGTCACATCCCGAGAAGAAGGGAAATCGAACATGTACATCCCGAGGCTTGTGATATGAACATGGATCGGCGGTGAGAATATCGCGATTCTTGTGTACGTGGTACACATGGTGTACAATACACATGATGAGAGGTTTGTATCTCTTGTCGACACTGGATGGCAAACATTTTTTGTACTCGTGGAGTTCTAGAAAGTGCTCGTATAAGATACTAGATGGATATACACACTGATCTTACTTTGGGCTCTTGACCTTACTATATGAGGAAGGTAATATATCAAAATCACTTACTAACCATATAAGAAACGCCTCTGGATGAATTCAAGGACAATTATCAGCTGTAATGTCCATATTGTCCATTGAGCGCAAAAAGGAATTGCCATCCAGAGTATCATGGATAATAAAAAAGCCATGAAACAGGCATTGTAGGCATTCGATATCTTGAGGAAGATCTTTTCCTAAATCGAGATACATAGATGCTTTCTCATTGACGCTGACTACCAAGATATTGTTGGAAAGGTATCATCTTATGCTCTGAATGAAATCAATAGATCTTTCACAATGTAACCCAGGATAAGATCTACGTACGACTGTGCCTCCTTGGGTAGGCGAGGTAGGTAGGCAGGGAGGTAGGCAGGTAGGTAGGTACAGTATGATATATTCCAGGACTTCCAGGACTACAACATTGGTAAGAATATGCATTACACAACATCGATCAAACTCAGGAGTACTTCTCTAAGTTCTCTGCTTTCACTCGTAGTTAGTTCCACACTTATTATGTGCTCTGTGTGTACTTTTGCTCGCTCTCGTACAAGGCTAAATTCTTCCTTCCACTCAAACTCTTAGATCGGCTCCAAAGTAGAATGGCGGCGTTGAATCCTTGAAGAGAAAACCGGAGACGGTAAACTTATCTGAGTATAGCTTCATCTTCTTCTCATCTGGTTAATCTGTGAATCTCTTAATCCCATCCTATCGTACCATCCATATCCATCAACAAGGAAATCTTGAGTCTAGAATTTGATCCTTATTTACAAATTATTGAAAGTCGTGCCGAATCAAAGCATCAAGGGGGGCGATGATCATTGAGATGCTAGGTACTTGCATACATCAGTTCGGGAATTTATCCCTATACAGTACATTTCGTACCTTCACTTCAAACAGGCTTCTTGCTTCACTCACTCATAATTTCCAGCCGCCACCAATTAATAAAGAGGATGCGGATGTACTCTGTAGGTATGACAATACATCTAACAAAATAACTTCACTATTTACATGGTTGAAAAAAGCAACAAAATAGCAGATGCCATTTTTATACATTTATATGAAGAGATGGATGTAAACAATTGATTCTCTACTTCCAAATTTCTTTTTTCGAACATTCCTATCTCCATCATCGACATAGGCAATCTACATCATCTTTGTTCTCGACCCTCACAAGGATACCTGAGTAGTATCAAGATCATCTTTTTTTTTGACATCGGATCCACAGCTTTCCGTGCTTCCTATGCAAAACTTACTTCAACTCCATTCCAAGTTCTACTTAGTCCATGAAATCGATATCGCACTACAATATTAATCAAAATTTAACATCATTGTGGGTTTCTACCGTGACATTGCTTCGATCTTCATCTGCATAACATCTG